CAAAATATTGCCTATTCCGTACTAATTTCCAACCAAAGCCTGACAGTCATTCCTATGTATTCTGCTACCCTTGCCTCCGTGCCGTCGCCGATGGCTACGCTCACAACCATAGAGAAGCAACAGCTGACGATGAATATGATTATGGGGGACTCAATTGCAAGGGAGGTGGTACTGGGTATCGCGAACAATGTGATTTTTGCTGGGTGGATAATAACCTTGGAAGAGATCCTGCTCAGTGTATTGAGCCAGTATGCGACTTTGCCTGCCTATATCTAAATATCATCTACGAATGCTAACATGTTGCTAGGACGAAGGAACTAAGTATTGGTGCATTTGCCGTGCGATGACTTACTGCCTTTCCATGTAAGTACTATCAATGAGCTGAAGATTGTACGTGAAGGCTAATATGGGGCAGCCTTGACACATATTGTGATGGCGAACTGGCCTTTGATGGCGATGAGGATGAAGAAGCGCTTGCTCAGCGAGCTTATGACAAGATTGTCGAGTGGAAATACCTCCTGATTGACTACATAGTGGCACACGGAGAAGAGTTGGATTCGATTGAGCTTGACTAGTCAACCAGTTAGAAACAATCAAACATATTGGACGGTTAGAGGGTACACTGGCCTGTTCCGCTTTCATGTCTGCAGAGCGTGTCGCAAGTGTTGCGGCGCTGAGCATCTGGCCACGGGCAAATGCAGCTAAGGATTTCATTGAGCTAATTTCTACGAACCGAAAGTACGGAAGTTTCCTTTAATTTCAGCACGTTGTGCGCAAACGAAATCAAAACCACACAATTGTTCTTCGCGGTGAAGTGATCCAGAGAGTATGGTACCTCCCAGCACCACATCGACACATCAATGAAGTCACCTATTTCATCGGCACCATGAATCTGAGATAACCCCTAGCCATGAAGCCGAATATAATTAATTCAGAGAGGCAGAATCGGAGCTCAAACGAAAGCTGCAGTTTTCCCTGGTACGAGAAGTCGTCCACGAGATATGCGGACTGGCGTCAGTTGACCTCAACCCCAAAATTGCATCACAACCAGTCGCGGGCACACCCCACCACCACCTGCACCTGTAAATCAGCTCCCAAGCATCGCCAAACCTCAACCTGACGCTGTGTCCACCGCTGCCCACTGCTCCCCCCACCAGCCCATCACCTCCCAAGCGTCGCTAACCAGCTGGCTGTCGTCGTGCCCACCGTCGCCCACCTCCACCTATTGGTGCCAGTTGCAGTGGAAATCAGTTACTGCCATCAAGAAAGGTGTTGTATATCCCGGCAATTTTGGGCGTCGCTACGAGGGTATCGCCTGTGTTCTCTTTCTGAGGTGATGAAAGCGGAGGAATGATGTCTAACCGCAGTTACGATCTACAGCTACAAAATGCAAGGGCCAAACCTTAAATAGCGCCACCCCCACAACTCTTCGCAATATTCTCCGATTGGCTAATTACGTTATTAACCTTGCTTTGTTGGTCCTTCCCCTGTGATTTACCTATTCCTATCAGTCCTCGGATCGAAGCCATTCCGCTGACAGCGCAGGATTCATCATCATATGAGACAAGTAATGTGGGTGTCGGCGTCGCGAGCCGCCCAGTGTAACGAGCCGGATCTGGGGTTTGGCCATTTTATTTCTCTCTTTCATAAGTATATAAAGCTATCGTTAATATGTCACTAGTCTTCAGTTATTTCTCCTCTAGGATCCCACTCTATTACACAACCAAGCGTATATCGGTTAAGCTATCGGTCCTTTCGATG